AAAAAGGCGACCCGGGGAAAAACAATCTCCCGTGCCGCGGGGGTTGGGCAACGAAAAGAAGAGCGGCCCCGGTGTCGATGGAGAATCGCTACAATGGAATCGACAGTTCGATGCCTGGGCTAGACCAGTCGTATTTCACGTCACGGCCAGCGTCGTCGACGTGTGTGCAACCCGGTACGCGGCTGGTACGCGTGTCGCCCGATGAAAAGGATGCTGGAGGACACACACACGACCCCCCTCTCTCCTAGAACCTCTATTCCCTCTGTCTTTCCCCTTTTGCCCCGCCGACGTGGAGTCGTAAAACCCCGCGAATGGGGGTGGGAAGGAGGACGCGTTCGATTACCTCGGGAGATACGGTTTTTCCGTGTCGAGTTTCCTCGCGGACGCAAAAAATTCAATAAAGTGCCGATGAAATAAGCCGTCGCAACGGCGACGTCGCTCGGAGACGACGCCAGGCGGGTGGCGACCGCGAGAGCCGCGAGTGATTTGTTGTACGCCAACGGCGAGAGGAGAGGAGCAGAGAGAGAGAACGCCTCGCGTCGGCCTCGATGAGACCTGGTGCCCGTTCGAGCGGCATTAACGCAATTATCCATTGACACAATTATTTCGTCAAGTTCATTAAATTTCTATTATGGACACCGGCTGCCGCACGGCTCGCGCCGCGAACCCTTCACCGGCTCGACTCGGCTCGGTCTCCTCCTCTCGTCTAGCCACTTGCCACGAGTTCAATGCGCCGATGGATAAGAATCCCTCTTGATTGCGCCCTCAAATTTTCTCGCCTTCGCCCGGCCCCTCGAACCACCCCTGTTTCCCGTCGCAGCTTTTCACCCTCTTCCCTAGGTGTTTCCCTCGGTCGTCCGTCTCGATTTATTCACGTCGCTGTTTCGCTCGTTTCTATCCCTATTTTTTTTTCGTCCGTTTTCCCCTGTCCGCGGGGACGAGCGCGAAGTAATTTTTTTCCTCGTTGCGCGCCCGTGTCGTTGTTTGCCGACGGGATATTCGTTCGCAAACGTATTCGCCAATTGAGCTGTTCAATTCGCGTCGGCAAATAAATAGTTTCGAGGACAAATATTTTAACCGCGCGCGCGTCGGTGACGATCGCGTATCGCGCGGAGCGATCTCGACATCTGACTTTTGCCCGCGCGCGGCTGTCCCCTTCACCGCGGTCTCACGCGTTCCGCTCTGACTGGCGTGCACCGTTATCGGGTCTCGCTGCGGGACTGAATTCGGAGCGCGAGAATAATGAAAAAAGAAAGTCGAGCCGGAGGAAGAGGAGGATGGGGAGGGAAGAAAAAGGTTCGTATAACCGGCCCCTATTTAATCTCGTTACAGCGTCACGGGACCCCGAGCTTCCGTGACGCTCCGTGCAAACAAAGCTGCTTCCGTAAAGCTCCTTGTAATCAGAGCTTCGCGAGGACTATATCAATACTATAAATATTGAATGGTTCAATAAGTACTGGCATACTTTATGATTTCCAAGCTAAGACACCGGGCCTCGGAGAAGTCGAATTTCACGCGAGCCCGTGCGTCTCTGACGCTGAGACCTGATTCTGGCGTGGGACCGCCGCGTAGCGATGGCCGACGACTTTCGTCGATCTCTGGCGCGGAGTGGTTCTTGGGGAAATATTTGATTAGTGTTTCTCTTTTGCATTGGTCACCGTTAATATTAATATTATAGAAATAAATATGAAATGTAGAGGTTCATATGGATCTGGATTAATATTTGTGTGCAACGGTGAAGAGAAAGTGTTGCTTTTAATGTACTGTATAAGAGAAACGCATAGATGAGAATGATTCTGGAATGAATAAATTTACATGGAAATAGATTGACATTTATTCAGACGAATTAAAAGGAGAATGTTCTGTTTTTATGTGTTGAATAAAGGGGGAGTTTTCTGCTATCTGCTTACGACGCTGAGTTTTTTATTAAGAGCTACGCGATTTTGCTGCTTGAAACGTCCGTTCAGCTTCAATAGTTTCCAAGATATTCGAGGGAATGTTTTCCGCACCCCTGTTTCTCGTAACTTTGAAAGCCATTTTCATCCCTCCGATATGAACGAGGACCGATAAAAAAATACGTGTCATATATTTTTGTAAGCACCACTTTCTACCGAAGTTTCATAAAAATCGGCGGATATCGGTTCCCTGAGTTCCCTTGTGAGTCTGAAATGACTTCATCGGTACTTTTCAACCCCCGCGTTCTGTTCATATTACGGTTACATTCGCACACAGACACCCCGGCGGAACTATATCAAAATTAAAATCAGTTTAAGGAAACGTGATAACCCGCGGGCACATCGGAACACACGAAAACTGATTACACAACATCGATTCGCGAAATTTCTATGCGATGCAGCACAGTGGAAGTTAAAGTATGCATTCGGGTCGAATTGGCCCGAACAGTGGGCGAGGGTTAAATTGCGTCGAATGGGGCTTATATATAATTAGTTTTCCACGATGAAAGCATAAATTATAGTATTTATCAAATAACATAGAGAGTTAACACTTTGATAACCGTTCCACATAATGGTCTCCATCAGTATATCAACATAATTGCCGGTATATTCAACACAAATATTTGCCAACGCGAAAACCCATTCAGCCGTGCACTTCTACGATATTATTACAAATATTGTGCGCAACATTGATATTCATAGTTCCGAAAATGTCGTGAGCCCGTGAGAATTTTGAATTCATTACTTAATCACTGGGAACCGAATCGGCGCCTACGCGAACCGCACGCATCCCTTTAATTTTGTAATGCTCCATTCGGAACGAGCCCCGACAAAGTACCGTACATTGTCCCAAGCGATAGCGGTACAATGAAATACCACCGAATTTCATATATTAAAAGCACAAACGACACACGTACAATTCCTTATTAAAATCCTAACCACGCGCGAAAAACAATATCCCGCACCTCCCTATCAAGTACGTCAGAAAATAAAATGCATATCGATCTACAAGTGTAATCACGAACAATACCGTACGATCATCATCGCGGAGAAATAAGAAAACTCCGACGCGGTGCGCGTGCAGCGGCGTCTAATGGAAACAAATTGGAAGTAATTCGCTCGGCTCACGAACGAGACGGCGATCGGACTCACGCATACGAGACAGCGGCCCACAAAGCGATAACGTCCGTTACATAAGCAAGCGCTAATTACCGGCTGCTTGATAGCCGACCGCAAATTGTTTTCAGCGGAGGGTCTCTCGCGGCGACAAAGGAGCGAAGGAAAAAAAAGTAGGGAGAGAGAGAGAGAGGGAGTGAGAGAGCGAGAGAGGAAGAGAGAGGGGAAGAGGAAAACGGCGGCAGCAATTTGGAAACGGACGCAGCCCGGCGGTGTTCACCCCCTGCGTGCGTACGTTCACTTTTCATTTTCTCCTCTTCCTGCCCGCTGCCGGCCGCTTGTTTTCCTTTTTATACTCTCCGGGGCCGTAATCAAAAGAGTCGGTCGATACGCATCGCGCCACGTGATGCGAAGCGAAATTACAAAATTTCACGGAAACCGGTGTGCGGGAGTCGGCCCGATAATCGACGGGATGAGTCTCCATCCGCCGCGTTCAACGGCGTTCGGGCTCCAATTCACCTGTTCATTTTTAATTGAACGTCCAATCCGTCGATCGGCCGATTTCAGCCAATTCTCGTCTAGATTTCGATGCTATCCGGGAATCCCCTCGCCGCGCGACTCCTCCGGCCGCCGACGACAAATAACGTGTTTCGACGGGACGCAGAGACGTTATCCGCATCCCCGATCTCGCCCGCCCCCTTTCCCCGCCGCGCGTTTTTACCCTTTTCTCTTCGACACGACCGCGTGCAACGCGTCCCACCCCCCTAATACCGCCACTGAAAAATGCAGAAACTCGAGCAAAAACGTCCCCCAGCTGGAAACGACCTTGCTCGCCCGTAAGGGGCGAGTTGCGGTGCGCGCGGCGGACGGGGGCGGGCGACGGGACGCGGAAAAGCCTCGGCGCGATTCACGCACAGTTAAATTAAACCGTGTTTCAATCCCTTCAAAGAGAGAGCTGCAGACGGTCTCTCCGTTAAACAACCCCCTCGTGCAGCCCGGCGGACCCGTACTTAAAATTCAACCCCCGCGATTTCCGTCCGGCGTTCCTCTCCGTCAATCTGTTCGCCGTCTGGGGAGACTGACGCAAGAGAAACCTCGGTGAATCCCGTGTACTGGTCCTCGAGATTTCGCTGCGGGACACTGTTGCGATCCCCTAAAGCTAGGGAGCTAAGAACTTCTCTGGTAAGAGACACGTTGGCCACGTTGCGACAGTTCGTTTACAATTTCAATCTGAACTACGTGGTCCAGCAAAGTGAAGAACACACATGATCAACCTCCCTAATCCAATCGTTCACAGAAGCAAACGGCTGATCCTGCGTTCCATCAGAACGCAGGATATCATGGTCAATGTAACGATCCGATTAATACAGATCTCCCATCACGGGACACTCTGTTGCTCCCAGGACACGGTGCGAGTGCAACGGCCCGCGGGAGGCAGGGTATCGAGGTTCAAGCACTATCCGAGTCGAGAGTCCGTCCGTCCGACGGCGAACGGCTTACCAAAGCCGCGTGGCGAGCGGGCGAGCGAGCGTACGAGCGTTCGAGCGAGCGGGCGGCTTTGAAAGGATCGTTCTCCACTCACCCACGATGCAAGCGAGCAGCAGTATTGTCAGTTCCATCGGGGCAGCTCTCGGCGGGTCCCGCAGCGCACACGTTGCCCGTCAGTGTCGTCGATCCTCGCGTCGTTGGTCTCGTGTTCGCGGCCGGCGCGACGCGTCTCTTCGCATGTTTCTCAGCGCGTGGTCTCACTTGGTGTGTCCGTGGTCGCCTTTTAACACCGATCAAATCACCGCGTCTCGGTAGGTGTCCCGGCGCGCGACGTGCCCTTACATAATAACCGAGCCAGCCAGCCAGCCGACGGGCACGGACGGGTCGGTCGGTCGGTCGGTGTGCGTGCGTGCGGAGCGTGGCTGGTTACGCCGTGAGCACAGGTGTTCCGTACCCGGTGCGGTGCGTGCGCGGTCTGCGGACCCCGGCTCTCGTCTGGCGTCGGCGGCGGGCACCCTCGCAGGCTTCTGCCTCGCGCAGAATCAATTTCCTCGCAAAAGGACGTCGAGGAAGGGCCAGTGGCAGTGCGCTAGCGCGAGTCACTGACCGACGCGCACGCGCCCAGCCGTCTCCGATCCGCCGGCTCTCTCTCCGCCGCCTCCCGTCCGGAACAGAAGAATCGCGGGGAGGATCGGCTGCTCTCTCTCGGTGCGCTCCCTCGTCGCGTGCGCCCCGCGCGCGCTAAGCCGGAGACTGTGTCAGTGAAATCTGGCCCACCGATAGATTCCAAGCAACCCCGAGCCGATAGGCCAACCATCCCCCACTGTGCTGCGCCTCCTACCATCTATCTACCACTGGTACCCGGAGGGGGACATCGGGGGGACGGTATCGGCGATGGTGGTGGTGTATTCACGGGACGAAACGCACCCCTTGTACTACGTACTCGGAACGCTAAACTCGCGCGGCCCGCTTCCTTCCTTCGCGACGGGGATGCATCCTTGCCCTTTGTGCCGCGGCAGCCCTATTGTTCTCGCTGAGCAGCGCCGATACCAAAGGCAATTCCTTCGCGAGCCACGACACGCGAGACACCCTCCACTCGGGGATGAAGCGGGCGGCCGAGTGGACTGTCGAGAGGCTTCCCGATGCGAGTATTTTATTTCGTTCTTTTGCCAAACACTGTTTTGCTTGGTAATTCCTGGATTAATTTCAGATGAGGACGCTTTGCCGACTGGATTGAGGGTTGCTTTGAAGCTGAGCTTCGGCGTTAGGGGAAAGGGTCGAGGGTTAAGGCGGTTTACCCGTGATTTTTGATAAAATTTTGTCGCGAAACACCTGTTGGCTCTGCTCGCCGGCTTTCAAGGCGGGTAATGGAGTTTATTGATAGCTCGTAGGTAATTTGACGTTGAATTATTCCACCGGAGCCGAGGAATGTGGAGGATCCTTCCGTGACGCGCGCCGTGACCCCGCGCGCCGCGTTTCCTGCCGCGGGTACTGCGAAAAATCAAAGGCCCGCGCTCGATGGACGAAGGAATTGTTTTTTCCCCGGGATTTTTGCGACACTCTTTTTGCTAAACGCTTCTTGCGTACGCGCGGCGGAATATTGTTTGTAATTAGACCGCGTCCCAGCACATGGAAATTCCCGTTTTCACGGGTTATTTCGCGAGCACGCTGCTCCGGGAGATTCATCGTGCTAATAACGAAATAAACATGTTGTTAATTTTTGTTATGCATGTGTCGCCGCGTTTCACGGATTCCCGGTTAACGCGCCCGCGCGCGGATGAATCACAATTATTCGAACGGCAGGCATTTCCCGATCGAAAGTGATGAGTACGAATGCCCCGCGTTATTGTTAGCGTGACTGCTTATTACGGAAAACAAAGATCATTTATTCAGTTTAAGTGCATTTCCACTGTGCAGATTAAATCCCGCTAACAAAGGGACGATATTTATTTTTTCATTCCGCGAACCCGATTCGATATTACTAAAAACTGCTCGATAAAATCACGGATGTCACCGATTTATTAAAGCCTCCGATCAGGCCGGAACGTGTACCAAACGATCGCAAACGATTTTCAACTAATTATTCTCGCCCAGCAATATTGTACAATTTTATCCTGCGATCACGTTATTCCATTTGCCGACAGCTTAAATTCGAATATTTATAATGCAACGCTGCGCTCGTAAAGGAGCATTCCTACAAAATCTATTCGAAACATTTCGCAGCAATTTTCAATAACACAAAAATCCAATACATCTTCCTCGAAATAAATAATTTACATAACTCGGCCCGCTCGTTCCTTCCCTGCCGCCAAGATGGCGTGCCACGGGCGGATACTAGTTCCAGCGCGGCTAGCTCGGCCATATTTTTTCTACCGATGATCCCCGGGGTTGATGGAGAAATTGTCGCCGCACAAAGGGGGGCACGTGTGATTCGCGGCCGGCGTCGCGGCGCTCCGTCATACTTACTTCTGGCAAATTGCACATTTTTCAATAACGTCCCGCGGGAATGATGGATAGGGCGGAGAGGACTCCTTAATGCGGTCTCTTGATTCGGATCCGCCAGATTTTTATTCCGCCGCCGATATACAGGGTGTCACGTGACTGTTGTCGCAACCAGATAGAGGCTGGTTCTATGTCAACAAGTCGAAAATATAGAATAAAACGTTTTCATTTCAAGCTTCGTTTTCCAGAAAGTCAATCTTGAATATCGAATAAACGCGTCCACATGACCATGTCTCGTTACTGGATCTCTTTGTACATCGTTATCTCGATTGAAGTTTATATTGATAAAAACTACCAACGCCAGGGAGATATTTACTACACTCGAGAGTTAAAAACACGCAATGAAGCAGGATATTAAAGTAACCGTAAACTTCATGATAATAAAGTAGTAATCTCTGGAATAACAGAATTCCTTGAAAATGTTCATTCTGTCGAATACATAATCCACTCTCCTAACTTTCCTATAAACTAACGCATTCTATTGTTTTAACGTATGAAACGTTATGATAAGTAGAACCTGCGTGTACTTCCCTTACCCCTATACACTGTTAGCTTGTAGTCCACTCAAACAGCTTATTCTACAATAGTAAGGATAGTAAGATAAACATTTTCGGAACTCTGAAAGCTTTTATCAACATAAACTTCAATCAAGACAACGATCTACAGTGAGATCCTCGGTATGATCTACGGCGAGTGTTCAAAGCCGATTCTCTCGACAGCAAAGCCTCGCACAAATTGTTATTCTACATTCTCGACTGATTTTTCCACACAGAGTTAACCCCCATCTGGTTGCACCAGCAGTTACGCGACACCCCGTATAGGACTATCGTCATTTGCGCGAGGGTGGGGACCAGCGTTGCCACCCCGGCGACAATGGGCTCCGCGGAGTCATTAAATAACGCGTAATGGCTTTCGAATTACTCGGACGACAACCGATATTTTCCGGCGGCGGTCGTTCGAACAGACTCTCCAGGCCGCTCCGTCCACCTTAATCTGACGCGGTATATTCATATTGCTCGAGGAGGAGCGCCGGGAAATTTCCCGGGCATCGGACTTCGCCGATAAATTCTCCCCGTGAATGTGAAACCTGTGGCCCTGCGAGTCCGACGCTGTCGCGAAAGCTGTACGGATTACGGCTAAAGGCTGCGTTTGGCAGTGTTTCTCGTCGAACGGTTCTTCGGGCAAACGCCTTTCACGAGACATTATTAAACGCGCGAAATTACCGCGCGAGGATGGGATTCGAATAAAAAAAAAAGGGGGAGTGGGGCAAGTGGAAGAATTATAGAGTAGGTGGGGTTCAATTTACTCTTATCGATTGATCACGCTACTCGGGAACGTCGAACGCGTAATCGAGAAAGAAGATTTATTATTAAAGAGAACCTTATTGAAAAACTAGCGCCGATGACGTACGGGGTACGTCTCATGCATTTTGGAGGAGCGTTAACATTTCTTCGCGACCTACGAAGCCTCGACTTAACTATTTCCGACTTTAGAATGCCTCTTGTAAAATATCACGTGGACGACGTACCGTTATGATTCTTTAATTTAAACCTCTAACGATTCTTCGTCGACGTTCACCGCGCAGTAGTGGAAATTCGGTGAATTCACGCGGTATTCTCCGGTGACTGGGAATCGCGTACCGATCCTGTCTGTTTGCAGTCAGCTTCAACCTCGTATAACTGCGCCGCATTTATATTCCCGGGCTGCTCATTCTTTGTATTGAAATTAAAAAGAGGACGGGAACCGCGGTCCCATGACGAAGATGAAAGGAGGAACGCCGCGCCGTGCAATTAAAGTCAAAGACCGTTTCGATCGGGCAAATATTTATCGAAAACAAACCGCCGATATTTTTTAATCAATCGAGACGCGGAAGTACATACTCGAAGGAGGGAAAGCGAGCGAGCGAGCGAGCTTGTATCGGTGGCGTATGTCTTAACTTTCATCGGGAAACGCGTATTTCTATTAAAATATTCAAAGGCTGCGCTTCTGCCTCGTATCTCTCGCGCTCGGAACCCTTTCAAGTGACTACCTCTATCTCAGGCAAATCCACGTGCGTGAACCTTCATATTCTCCGCCCTCCCATTGTGCGCTCGTGTTCAATATCCATTCAACGGGGCCAGGGTTCGAGAGATTCAATTGACACCTTTATTTGCCCCTCCGTCGGCTCACGTAACAGGTAACTTTAATCGGGAACAACGTACCGACAATTTCCCGAAATATAACCGGCCCGATTGAAAAGCGAAATTATTTTCGCGGAATCGCCTCGCACGCCGGCCACCACGTACGTTCGCCTTTTATTCTCGCCGCTGGCCGGCTGCTACGCCCGCAGAAACCGCTTTTTACTTTATGGTTGGCCAATGGTCATGTTATATTATATCGACGGACCTATTTTTTTGAACATTAACCGCGGGAGAATAGGAAAGGGAAGTAATGGTATCGAAGTTATTGAAAGCATTTGAGTGGAACTTTTCAGATTAATGATAAATGGTACACACTCTGTATCGGATTAAATATATCGTTAGATCGTTCGATGAATATTCATGGCTTACCAGGGTATTCATAATTATCTATTAGTTTCTGTCGCAAGAATTACTTGCACAATTTACCCTCTGTTTCCACCCCTTCGGGCTGATCTCATTAACATCGTTATCAGCTGGTATACTTGCGTGGTCAGCTGGTTACGTTCCGATGCATGAAACTTCTTTCATTAACAATATAGGGAATATACAAATATACTCCAACCAAGTAACTCTAATTACTATAAGCCACACTGAAACATACCGAAACGTCATTATTAAAACCAGAAGCAACGATCTTGAAACTTCCACGTGACATTGAAAAATACTGGTGGCCAAGATAAACTGATGGAACACCCTGCAAGCAAATATCTACCATCAAATTACGTCCGTATCGTGACCCTCGAACGATAAGTAACAATTATCTAACAGTTTCTATGCAAGCACTTCGACCGTAATTAGCATTTTACTTTCACCCCTTTCGTTTTCTTTGCCCGCCGCGCCGTCCAGGTTCTCCTGTTACACAGGCGT